TGCGACGGTGACGGCGGTGGCAGCGGTAGCGGCAGTGACCGCGCAGGCGGCCGCCACCGCGACGGCTGCAGCAGCGGCGGCGCCGCCGGAGGAGGTGGTCAAGGCGGCCGAAGTGGCCGAGCATCAGCCCGCGGAGGCGGGGGAGACGGTGGCTTCCGCCGCCGCCGCCACCGCCGCCGCCCCGGTGCACACTGAGACTGAGCCCGTCCTGGCTTCGGCTGGCGCTGTTGGTGGCGGTGGCTTCGGCGGGAGCAACGGCAGCGCCAAGAAGAGCAAGAAGAGCAAGAAGTAGAGCGGCAGCTGTAGGGCACGTAATCGGTGCAGCCGCAGAAGTCGGTCGATCGGGCGGTCTTGCTTTGTGTATGTGTGTAAGGGGGGGAAGAGCTGAACTCGTCATTTTGCGGTTGAGCGGTGTGATGGTGCCCGTGGGGACGTAGTCCCTCGTGCGTGGGGCTCTGACGGAATAAAGGCAGTTGCGGCGGCTGGGTTGGAGTTGTGTGTGTGTGCGTGCGTGTGCGTGTGCGTGTGTGTTGCTGTTTTCGGTCGATGTCCGGTGCTGGCGAGGCACAGCCAGCACCGCCTCTCTACATGCCATGAGCACCTCGACAGCGGCCCTAACGTGGTAACGCGGGACAAAGCGGGACAGTGAAATCCAGGAACAAGTAGCTCACAAGGTCCACACAACAGCTGCACGGCTGTCTAGGTGGCAACAGCTGCACGGCTGCTTGTCGTGTTCGTGTGTTGGTTGGGTGCGACAAGGTATACGCGACACGTAGCCGTGCATGAGGCATCGGTGCGGCCCGTGTCGTACGTCTCACTTTGAGGCCGAACTCGTCCCCAGGCCGCTCTTTTGATGCAACAGATAATTGTACTTAATAATTATTATCATTGCCATGAAGCAATCGGGGCGATGATTTTCCTGGTGACGGATTTTTCAAGTTGGTTTTTCCCTTCGCGGTGGTGGGAGTTGGGTGGTGCGTGATGAGGGTCGCATGGCAAGGGACGCAGCCCACATGCCGTACATCACAACCCGGCGATGATGACCACCGGCAGGAGCACCGCCTTCACCGTCACCAGCAGTAGCAGCAGTAGCAGCAGTAGCCCGCTCCGGAGCAGCCGTTTTCTGCGGCGGTGGAGCCGCCTGATGAGTGACCCGAGTTGTGGTGGGACGTGGCCGGGGAGGTGGAGGTGCGCAGACTGCTGCCGGCAGGCGGCGCTGTGGGACACCTGCAACCGCGTGTTTGATCCCCACACAGCCGGAGTGCAGGGGTGGGGTGGGGCGGGGTGGGGGGCACAGAGGGGGTCCATTTTGTAGTGGTGGTGTGAGGGCAGTTCATGTGGCTCATGCAGTTCATATCTGCTGCTGCTGCGTGCTGCTGCTCCCTGGCAGCAACACAGCGGCCATCAGAGGCTTATGAGTTGGAGGGGTGGACCAGCAGCTTTGCTCGGAAGGTGGCGCGCCTAAAGGGTGGGGGTCTACCCCGCCCACCCGGCCCTAACCCCACCGCCACCCCACCCCCGACCATTAGGACGACTCCCAAGTGTGTGAGGTCGTATTTGCGGAGGTCGTATTTGCGGAGGATGTACGGACGGATGCTCTGCGGGCTTCCTTTCGGTGGCCTTGCAGCCTCTTAAGGGGGGGGTTTCTCTGTTTGCGCGAATTGAAATCCTGAGGGGATGTTGCACTGCCGGCAAGCCGCCGAATAGCGTGGAATGCATATCACAACACTGAGTAACGCTTACATACATACATCCACACACAAGCAACGCCACCAATGGTGTACACTCCTGATGTGTGCGTGTGTATGTGTGTTCAGACTCGCAGCAGTTGGCGAGCATGATGGCCCCTTTCTCCCGTAGAAGCTCCGGAGCCGTCCCGGGGAGTCCAAGGGGGGGTGCTGCATTCCAAGAGGGCCCCGGGGGCTTCGAGATGGTGGTGGTGTGGTGGTGATGGTGGTGGTGATGGTGGTGGTGGAGGGGTTTTTGGATACTGTTCGGCCCCCACCCACACCGTTCAGACTTAGGAGAGGAATGGTGGGGCGGCGGGGACGGGGCTGAAGGCGGGGTTGCCAAGCGGAACGATGGTCGAAGGGACGTGTGCCTGCGTAGCCTGCAAAGCAGCTTCTCCGCTTACGTCTTTGTTGCAGAAGTCTGTCCCGTCGATACGGGAAATTAGTGGCGGGTGGATCAGGTGCTACGGGAGCCTAGATTCTATGAGTCGTTTGTTAAATGGCAGCATATGGGTTTGCGAGTCTGTGGCAAACCCTTTTCTGCGTATTACGCGTGCCTGTGCTGTGTAGGATGTTTGAATAGGTTAGGTGGTACCTTACGCGACTGCTGTAGCAGTCGCTGTCGATGTCGTGTTAATTTGGAGGACGTTCGTTCTGCTAGTCGGCGAGGCCGAAGTAGGCGGTGCTGCGGCTTCTGCCTTCGCGAGGTCGCGACTGATAAAGGCGTTGAGGAAGAAGCGCAAGAAAGAAGCGCTCTTGAGGAGTGACAGATACGAAGTATGCTGGTGATGCCTATCTGTGGAGAGTTTTTTTTGCGGAAAATGCATTTTTGAAATTGTATTTCCTCCTAACCGTTATAAGATGGCATCGGACAAGTAAAACAAAAATTGTTCGTTTCGTTCCGTTCATGCATCTCGCGGTGTGGAAGTGATGGTTAGTTTTTTGTGTCAGCTGTGCGAGGACAAGAGAGGTCAACTCGGCGGGGCATATGTATACTGAGGTGCCTGTTTCAGAGGGATATAAAGAGCGAAGGAAGGATCCATTCCATTCCGTTTTTTTAATGGTAGGAGACATCGCTTTCGTGCGACTCTTTTACAAAGTATTCAAGAAAAACAGAAAAATGTCAAGTGAAATATGCCAAGATGTGCAGCACATAATACTCCTGCAAGTGCGAAAACGTTTACTTCGTGAGCATAAAAACGGTCTTGTCCCTGTCAATCGACAAACTGGGCAGCACGTAACCGCATCCGCTCCCTCACAGGACCTCCTCTCTTCACCTTGCGCGCCTGCAACTACGCGCGCTGTACCACATTACGACGAACATCTTCAGCACGCCAATGCCCACTTGCAACCTAATATTCTTTATCGCTCCAAGGCGCGCGAGCCGCCAAACTCCCCTCGCCTCCCTCCTTCAGCCCTCGCTCGCCCCTGAGGTTCAAGCGAGCGAGCCCATGTAATAAGAAGCCCTAAGCATCACCGCCCCCAACCTTAACCCCACTCCAACCCAACCCACGCTATCGCCATCGCGTACCACACATTGAAGGCTTCGCTTCCAGGCTGTTGCCCTCATCGGCCTTGAGCCCATCCGAGACGATGATGGTAAGAGAGAAATAGAGAGAGGAATCATCATCGCGCACTACGCGGTGCCCACTTCACCACTGAAATGTCCCCCCCCCAAGACCACAGCCGATGGATGGAGCTGGAGGTAACAACTCCCCTCAGACAGTTCCACAGGCTCCGCGGCTCACGAGGGCTCTCTTGCCCGAAACAACCTTCCAGCGCTTCTCCCGCTTCCCGCACCGCATTATCGTAAACTTCGTTTCATTGGGACTGCTCCGGCAGAAGTGAGAGACAATACCCCCCCACACACACACACATACATATATACCCACACACAACGTGAGACGTGAGACGCAAAAAACGCAGTCCCAGCTCATAGCTCATCACATGACCATATCTGGTGCCCCCCATGAGAGAAGGCGAACTCCGCGGGTGAAGCCATGGCGACGTATGCTTCAAAGGCATCACCCTAAAAGAGGCGTAGCGCAATGCCCGGGGGCAGTGAGCACTCCCCCCCAACGGGCAGTGAGCATTGCAAAGTGAACTGAACAAGAAGACGGAGTAGGAGGAGGAGCAGGAATAGTAGATTCCGGATCATCACACACACACACACACCCTTGCTCTCGGAACCCCATCGGCAGCGGGCCCTGGAGTGGGCGAACACAAGTAGCAACACAAGTAAAAGCAGGGTTTGAAGAATGCCTCTTTATTTTCATTTGGACGACGCAGGATACGAAACCGAAACCCAGGAGCCACTCCACACCACCTATCCTCCCGCTAAACTCCCCCTGCGAAATTTGTCCCCCTCGTTCAGCATTTGCGGTGGTTGAAGAAGAGCTCCCACCGCCAACACAAGAACACACATAGATAGGTACAACAGCAGGACCAAGCAGCTCGGCCGTGTCGTAACCATAAAACGCTTTCTTTGCATTTTTTTACACCTTTCATGACTTAGATTGGATACCCCTTTCTCCCGCCCGCCGCTCGATGCACTGCTGCGCCCCCTCTTCCGCGTCCTCCACCCCTACAACACCGGGCACTCGTAACCAGGTAGTCCGGAACGACACACTCCGCACAGCCGCGGCGCCCTCCACGGACTGCATGGAGTACCTCCTGCGCGCCCGTGCGCGGGGGCATTGAATGAATCCCATACCCACACCGCGCCATTACGAACGTATTCCTGCCTGCTGCCTGCAGCTAAGGACCGGGGGGCCGCTGACGGGAGCCAGCAGCTCCTTTCCCGGGGCGCTCACACCACCACCACCACCACCACCACCACCACCACCACCACCACCACCACCACCACCACCACCACCACCAACACCACCACCACCCCGCTCTCCGCAGCACGACGCCACACACGACCCTCCTCCTGATTCGGCGGCGGCGATGCCGATGCAGGCGTCCTGGCACCCATCGGGCCATGCAGCTTCCTTTGGGAGAAGCACCCAGTCCCCAGCCCTCGAGGCAAGAGAGATATACGGTGACACACCGTGTCGCCACATGCCGCAAACACTTACACGCTCCTAGCACTTAGCGCTCCTAGCCAAGCAGACACCTCTCCTGGGCCCCCTCTCCCCGCCTCTATATCCAGGCTCCCGACCAACATCCCGCCCACCTTCCAGCCACAGCATTCCGCACAGTCCTTCCGTTGTTGCCCCCTACATGTCACCCATGCCTCTCGCCTCCCTCACCTCACCTCACCTCACCTCACAGCTGCCTAAGCAGCTCCAACTGCCGCAGGAGAGCCTCATTGGTTGGCGGACCTGTGATGTGCCCCAACTGCCGCTGCGGGCCGCCACCCGGGCCCGGAACCAGATGCAACTGCAGGTGATGCAACGGACGACCAAACGCATCCGTGCCCAAAGCCCCGCCGCCGCCTCCACCGCCAACCATGCCACCTTGTCCCAGCCCATGCTGCCCCATCCCGCCAGGTGCCTTGCCGCCTGATCCCCCAGGGCCGTGAACGACCCCACCATCACCGGCGCCCAACAGCCCTGGCCCGCCCAGCCCCGAGGGCCCCATGCCCACGGGCCCCACGCCCAGCCCAGACGGCCCCAGGACACCAGGCCCGGGTACTCCGCCTCCTCCCAATCCCCCGCCACCTGCATGTGGCCCCAGGCCATTGAGCCGGCCGAAGCCCGATAGCAGCCCCTGAGCATTGGAGTTGCCGGCGCCGCCAGGACCCTGCTGCGCCGCCGCCGCCGCCGCCATGATCTGGTTCCGTACCTGCGCCTCCGCCTGCGCCAATGCCATCATGTGCTGCTGGTGTTGGTGTTGGTGCTGCATCTGCTGCTGCTGCATGGAGACGGCTGTCGAGTCCGATTGGTCCGGTCCAACGTCACCATCAACGGGCCCCAAGCCCAGCGCCGCCATACCCAATCGCCCCAAACCGCCATTCCCACCGCCGCCACGGCCGGCAGCGGTGGCGGCAGCGGTGACGCCGCCGCCGCCGCCTGCGGCGGCGGCCAAACCCATTCCCATCGCCGCTGAACCCTCCGCCGCAAACATGCCCCCGGGCCTCTCGCCGCCATTGCCGCCTTGCAGGCCCCCGGCTGCTCCCCCACCTCCTCCTCCTCCTCCTCCAAGCTGTCCCAGCAGACCCAGGCTGGGCCCCCCGGACACACTGCCCAGAAGGCTGCCACCGGCACCAACACCGCTAGTGACTTGCAAGCCGTGCGCCTGCGCCTGCAGATGCTGTTGATGCTGCTGGTGCTGCGTCGCCACTCCTGCTGGGCCAAGGCCCAGGCCGCTGTGCCGCCCCAGCATTCCTCCTACAGTGCCCTGGCCGTGGACCCCACCGGCAGCGGGCCCACCTCGGGGCCCACCTTGCATGCCAACGCTACCACCCGTGTTGAAACTTAGCAACCGGTTTCGGTTGCCATTGCCCATGCCGCCGTTGTCCTGGCCGCCGCCCACAACTGCCGCCGCGGCCGCCGCCGCCGCGGCAGTCTTGCTGGCCTCAGCCGCCGCTGCCGCCTGTGCTGCCGCCACAGCGGCCGCGGCGGACCCTGGCTGCAGCCCCGGCGCGCCGCCAGGCCCTTGCATGCCTGGCGGCGGCCGGCCTACGGCCCCCAGCTGCAGACCACGGGGCCCCATAGCCACACCCATACTCATACTCATCGCCCCTCCTACACCAAGACCTCCACCAGCCGCAGCGGAGCCTCCGAACGGGACTCCGCCTATGCTCACTCCAGGGGCTGGGGCCCCCGGCAACCCCCCGCCCACACCCTGTCCTCCAGACGTGGCCGCCACCTGCCCAACGCCGCCTTGCAGCTGTAGCTGCAACTGCTGCTGCTGCTGCGGTAATTGCTGCTGCTGCTGCAGAGGCGGCGGCAACGGCGGCTGCTGTAGCAGCTGCTGCTGACCCCCCAAGGCGCTGGCTGAGGAAGCTGAGCCTGGCGACGGTGCCGAGGCAAGGCCCAGGAAGTCTGGTGCACAGTAGTGGCCGTTACCCCACATGCTGCTAGGCGCTGCGATGTGTCCGTAGCTGTGGCTGTGGCTGCTGACAGGCGCGGAGTTCGGGTTGGAGTTGTTGGGGCCAGGATTCGGACTTGAGCTGCTTCGCTGGCCCGAGCTGCCTAGTCCCCCTGCCCCCGGAACCCCTCCCACCGAACTGCCCACTGCCTTGTTCCCGGAGGAGGCGGCGGCGGCAACAGGAGGTCCCCCCGCAGTCGGGGGCTGTACCGGGACCGACATCGGCATGGGGGGCTGCGACTGCGACTGCGGCTGCTGTGGTTGCAGTTGCTGCACCAGGGGGACTGGAGAGGGCGCCGCTGGCAGACCGGCGCCGCTACTGGAGCTGCCGCTGAAGCTGGCACGGCCAGTGCCTAAGGAGTCGCCGTCACCTCCAGCGCCCGGCCCTACGCCCATAGCGGAGCTGCCGCTTCGTGACAGTATAACCTGCGGCGGCGGCGGCGGACAAGCCGCGGTGGCCGCCACCGCGGCGGCGGCGGCTGCCGCCTCCGCCTGCGCGCACTGCAGCTGCGCCTGCAG